AAAGAAGCTTATGCACCCCTATGTTCACTGCAGCATTATTCACTATAGCTAAGAAGTGGGAGCAACCCAAGTGTCCCTCGACTGATGATTGGATCAAGAAGATGAGGTATATATATACAACGGAATACTACTCAGCCATAAAAAAAGACAAAATCTTCCCATTTGCAACAACATGGATGGACCTTGAGGGTATTATGTTAAGTGAAATAAGCCAGAAAGAGAAAGACAAACACTGCATGATTTCACTCGTATGTGGAATATGAACCAACACATGGACAGAGAGAACTGTATGGTGGTTACCAGGGGCAAGGGGGTTGGGGGGTGGGCACAAGGGGTGAAGGGAAGCATTTATATGGTGACTGACAAACAATAATGTACAACCAAAATTTCACAATGTTATAAACTATTGACATCAATAAAAAAATTTTTTTTAAAAAGTCAGACATATGCTCAGCTTAGATTCAAAACAAACAATTTCTAGGTATGTTTGACAACACTTCTTCGTGTCCCATGCAAGGCTTTGTCCTATTGCTTAAAGCCATGTCAGCCAGCCACAACATAGATGCTTGCCTGAGTTAGGCAGCCTGGCTGAAACCTCACTGATTGATTTATTTGCATATCTGTTCAACAAATTTTATCAAGTGCCTACTATGTGCCAATACCACGTTACACACTGGGAATACAGTGTTGGGAAGACAAGACAGAGATACCTGTCCTCATGGGGCTGTTAGCCCAGAGAGGAAGACAGACATTAAATGCATAATTATAAAATGTCTTGCATTCAACCTTAATGTACACAACTTCAGCCCAACAACTTGCAGTTTTAATGATCCTAAACTTTTTGAAGGAAGCTCTGTGCAAGAAGATCTTAACGGCAAAAGTAACTCATCAAATCATTTCCATTTTTAAAGCAGATCTGTTTAGAGAAACCTGACCATTCCATTACATTCACCCAGCTTCTCTCCTTAAAGAATTGTGCCTTAAGCTGCTTATTTGGAAAACACACTAGAAATCCCCCTTTCTCCAACCAAATGGTGTTAAAACTACAAATCCTACGGAAACATATTGCAGAAGCTTGGCAGTAGGGTGCTGATGGCATTTTCTGATTTTAAATAAAATACATCTCAGAATGATTTACTACTGATTTAAACATTTCTTTTCCTATACGATAATGCAACATATTGTATTTCTTTCCACTTCTAAGTGGGATTTGGAGTGAAGAGACTCACTTTACATTTAAAGTAACAGAAGGCAATTAGGAAACCAAATGAATCTTGGACTTGCTAGGAGCGCCGGCCATTAATAAGGCTCCTCATATTTACCAAGTATTCTACTGCCATTCTCATTACAATAATAAGGGAATTTGTATGACTTGGATGGATTTCCTAAACTACAAGCTTAGAAGTAAGGGGCTGCCTAAATATTTTATGACTTGCAAGATGAAATGCAGCTTAAATTTACAGTGTGGTAAGATGACCAGACTGAGAATCGTAACTAGCTATGAGACAGCACTGCTGTTTCTTCATTTCCCTGAGCCTCAGTTTCTTTATCTGTAAAAATGGAGATAATAATCTGCCTATTTCCCAGAGCTGCTATAGAAGAGGATCAAATGAGGTGATATTTCGGAGGCAATTTTCAAAGTATAAAGTGCTATAGAAATGGATATGATGGCTATCAACAAAATGGAATTTTCAGCAGCAAACAATCCAATTTATATCTTTCTTGCATTTCCTCTAAACTTTTATGACAATTCCAAGGTGTGTTTCAGAAACTTACCTGGCACCCAATAAATAAATCATGGGACATTCATACTACAGAATACTATGCAGCCATTAAAAGGAATGAGGTAAGTCTATATATCTGTCACGCATGAAAAGGTGAGTTGGGGAAGGAGGGGGGTGGGGACTGAGGACTTTTCCTTTATATACCATACAATTCTGTACTGCTTGACTCTTTTATAATTATTATACGTCACCTATGTAATTTTAAAAATTGAAAGAAAGGTGAAAGGAAGGAAGGGAGGGAGATAGGAAAGGAGGGAAGACAGGAAGTAAGAATAAGAATTAAATAGGTTTCCTTTATATTTCATACCATTCTGTACTGTTTAATTCTTTTACAATGAGTACGAATTACTTTTATGATTTTTTATTTTTTTATTTAATTATTTTATTGAGATCACATAATTTTTTTTAAAAAAATGAAAGGAAGGGAAGAAGGAAAAGAAGAGAAATAAAGGGTAGAGATTAAGAACTCTTATTTTATACCCCATATAATTATATGCAATTTGGTTCTTTTATGATGAATATCTGTTACTTTTATAATTAAAAAAATTAAAGGAAGGAAGAAAAGAAGGAAGGAAAGGAAGAGGGAGGTAGGGAAGAAGGAAGGAAGGGAGGGAGGGAGGAAAGAGGAAGAAAGACACATACCTGGGAACTGGACTCCTTTAACTTCCCACCCTCGTGTCACCGTGGGGTCCAGAAGAGTTTGCTTTATGAATGACTAGATCTGGTCTCTAAATCCCTACGTTTGATGTGAAATGGAATGAGCAAAAAGCAGGAGGCTCATTATCTGCTGGCCATGCCTCGGTCACCTTCTTTTTTGGATCAAACCAGTCTCTCTGCTCTTAGCTTTATGGGGCTTATTGACCAGAGCAGATCCTCTTTTTGTGGCTTGCAGCACGTCATGGGGCTGCTCTCCCGAGCATGAAATCAGCTTGAGCAAAGTTCTCAGGTTATCACATACCTGCAATAACCCATTAATTTGAGGGCTCTTGCCCAGTTTTCACTAAGGATTATCTTCAGTTGCTAGTTGATTATCACTTTAATTAAATTGGATATATTAAACGGGTACTTGCTCACTTAAGTAAGAATTATTTAACTTTATTGAGAAAATAGGGAGGGGGGTAGTGTTCAGAATTATGAGGAGAAAGCAGAGGCCAAAGAAGTATTAATGTGTTCACAGCTCACACTGTCAGTTAGGTGAAGCCAGCTGTTTACCCTCACTGTAGATCTGTTCTACAAATTGCCTTGAAAATAAACAGACTTACTAAACTGGTTTTGTGTCATTCTCAAGAGGAGGATGTAGTTTTTGCCCCAGAAGGTGTCATTACAGCCTTTTGAGATGATGGAAATATCAAATCCCATCAAGCAGAGATGATCCCTGCCAGCCTCCACATTTCCAAGACCCTGAGGTCCAGAGGGTAGAATGACTTGCTCAAGGTCATAGAGCTTATGAGAGGCAAACTAGGAGCTAGGGCTCCTGACTCCCAGACCAATGTGTTTTCCTCTCCGTCTCACATCCTAAATGGAAAAATATAGTCTAATTAGAGGCTGAGTCAACCTGTTATCTGTAGGCCAGTGGTTCTCCACGGGGGGAAGGAGGAAGGAGGGGATGTATCAGAATCACCCATCGCTCACCCCCAAGCCCAGAAACTGATCAGTATGGTGGATGAGAGCCCAGGTTTTGCAGAAAGATAGACTTGAATTTGAATCTCAGTTGTGTGATTTAGGGCCAGTTCCCTAACATCTGTGGAGCCCCCGGTGTCTTCATTTGTAAAACCTGGATAATGGCACTCACCTCACATCGCTGTGAAGATTACAGGAGACAGTATGTGTAAAGGGCTTAGCCCAGGGCCTGGCACAGGGTTTCAGTGCCACTGCTCCTGCCTTGGACTCCATTGCTTTCCCTTTCCACTTGGCACGAGGTTCAGCTTTTGCGGCCTGCTCCCCACGTGGGGCCACCCAGATTACAAGGGGATATGGGGCAATTGCCAAGGATCATCAGCATGGCCTTTCCTTGGCGTTGGTTTATATTTCATACCATGCCTGCTCATTGGCCTGCCTTCCCCCACCCCATAACACTATGAGCTCTGGAAAGGCAGGAGCTCCATGCTATTCAGTGGTTCACCCACTGCCTGGCACATAGAAAGCGCGCAATCAATATTTGATAAATGAATGACTATGCCTTTCTCCCCTACTAAAGCACGCACCTACTGAGCACAGGGAAACACAGCTCTGTTCTCCTCGTGCCCTGTCCCAGGAGTTAGCACAGCATCTGGCATGTGGTGATGCTTAATGAATATTTGTTAAATTGAAAAAGAATTTAGAGGACACTATATTCATATATACCTGGATGTGTTTTAAAAAATTCTCAGGAAGGAGACCTTGGTGAGAATAGCTGATTCTAGAAAAGGAGACTGAGAGGTCTTGGATGGGAAGGAAACTTACTTTTCTCAACACATGCTTTTGTACTGTTAGAATTTTGATCATATGGGGCCGGCACCATGGCTTGGTGGTTAAGTGCGCCACTACCTGGCACTCCACTACTGGCGGCCCGAGTTTGGATCCTGGGCGTGGCACCACTTCTCCGGCCATGCAGTGGCCGCGTCCCACATACAGCAACTAGAAGGGTGTGCAACTATGACATACAACTACCTACTGGGGCTTTGGGGAAAAAAAAATAAGGAGGAGGATTGGCAATAGATGTTAGCTCAGGGCTGATCTTCCTCAAAAAAAAAAAAAAGAATTTTGATCATCCTCATGTGTTACTTTAAAAAAAAAAAACACTGTGTTTATTTTCTAAGAAAACCAGTGTAGTGCAAATGAAATAATTGACTAGAAAATGAAATTTGTGCATAAAAATCAAGAGGTTAGAACTTTTTGGTCAGGAAAAAAAAAATGTCACCTGACGAGGGAGGGCTTCAATGGGCATCCTCCACTCTCTGGAAGATTATAAGGAGAATGCTGACCATCTGGTCTCTGTATCTACAGAGTAATAGGAAATGGACTGAAATTGCAGGGGGAGATGTGAGTTAAACGTAAATAAGTCATTATTGACGATAGGAGTTGATAAAAAGGCTATCACGGGATGTTATGAGCTATCCATCCCTGGAAGCTCGAAGGTCTAGATAGCCATATGGCTCTGCTGATTTACATGTCCTCCTACAGAGACGAGAGCTGATCTTGTTGAGACTCTGTCCCCATTTCTGACACTAAAAGAGACCCTTAATCTGGTGAAGGTCCAAGCCGTCATTGTTCCCTCTTCCCTTTCCTGGTGTGAGCATCCCACTAGGCCAACTGGGAGTCTGGCAATTTCCATACAACATGGCCCCCAGCCACGAGCCCGCTGTTGAATTCAAGGTTCAACCATAAAAACAGTGAAAGGACCTGATGCTCGAGGAAAACTCATCTGTGTGGGTGACTTCCTAAGAGATTTTCAAAGACAATTTTCATCATATTTGATTGCCACCTTAAATACCACCATCCAACTGATTCCCTACTGGTTGTCCTTCCCATGCATACCTTCATACTTTTACTACATATGTGGGTATCCCTTAACAACATGTAGTATTATTTTGTATAATAATACCATATGTTTGTAAACATCACATAAATGTGCATGCTTTTCAACATGATATAAAAGGTATCAGGCCACAAGAGAGGCAGCACAGCACAATAGTTAATAAAACAGATTCTGAACCCAGACTTCTTGGGTTCCCTCATGTCTCACTGTCTCAGCTTCTTCATCTGCAAAATGGGGATGATGATATTGATGATGGTATTCACCTCTAGTGTTTTTATGGTATAAATGAGACAATATGTATAAAGCACTTAGAACATTGCATGGTACATAATAAATTTATAAGTATTAGCTATTATTAGCTATTCTTCTGCAACTTATTTTTCAAGCTCAACAGTGTTCATTTAGTCAAGAACATTTAATAATTCTAAGATGCTGGGGATTCAGCAGTGAACAAAACAGGTAACTCTCTCTCTCCTCATGAAATTTATGTTCTAGTGGGAGTAGACAGACAATAAGCAAGGAAAATAGGTAAAACATATATTAGAAGTTGATAAATGTTATAGAGAAAACTAAAGTGGGAAAGGATTTCTGGGGGAAGAGTGGGGAATGCAATTTTAAATAAAGTGATCAGGGATATCCTCACTGATAAAATGATACTTGAACAGAGACCTGAAGGAAATGAGGGAGTGAGCCACGGGGACACCCGAGGAAAGAGCGTTCTGGACAGAAGGAAATACCCTAAACACTGCAGGGCACTTGAAGCCTTTCTAGAAGTGGCACTGAGGTCAGTGTGCTGGAGCAGAGCAAGGTAAGGGGAAAACAATGAGAGAAGAGGTAAGAGACGTAATGGAGGGCCAAATCACACAGGTTCTGGCTGGGCCATTTTGAGAACTTTGGGGCCAGCCCCAGTTCAGCGCACTCTGCTTCGGTGGCCTGGGTTCAGTTCCCAGGTGCAGACCTACACTGCTCTGTTAGCAGCCATGCTGTGCTGGCGGCCCACATACTAAAACATAGAGGAAGATTGGAAAAAAAAGAACTTTAGTTTACTCTGGAGAAATGGGGGAGCTATTGCAGGGTTTTCCAAAACGTTTTATTCTGAAATAACATCAAACTTACAGAAGAAAAGTACAAAGAACTCTCATGTATCCTTCATCCAGATTCGCCAATTGTTAACATTTTGCCACATTTGCTTTATCTCTCTTTACCTATATTTTTGAAGCATTTGAGAGTAAATTGGAGATATTATGCCCCTTTACCCCAAATACCTCAGCTGGCATTTTCCTAAGAACAAGAATAGTTTCTTGCATAACCACAGTACAGTCGTCAAAATCAGGAAACTTACCTTGATGTAACACTATCTCCTATACAGTCCATATTCACATTTAGCCAACTCTCTCACTAATGGCCTTTATTACAGTTTTCCCCTCTGATCCAGGATCCAATCTAGGACGACACACTGCTTTTAGCTGTCATTATTTTTTACTCTCTTTTAATCTGGAAATATTCCGCAGCCTTTCTTCAACTTTCACGACATTGACATTTTTCAAGTGTACAGGCCAGCTATTTCATAGAATGTCCCTCAATTTGGGTCTCTATAACCTTTCCTCATAGTTCAGGTTATGTATTTTTGGCAAGAATAGCACAGAAGTGATGTGTCCTAAGGTGATGTCCACCTTAACCACTGTAAAGTTATAATTTTTCCACTTGTAATTCATAAGTGGTCTGTTGGTAAAATACTTTGAGTCTGTGTAAATATCCTCTTCCTCCTTGTCTTAGTTCATTCAGGTGACTTATAAACAACAGATATTTATTTCTCACAGTTCTAGAGGATGCTGGGAAGTCCAACATCAGTGTCTAGGGAGAGCCCACCTCGTGGTTCAAAGATGGCCATCTTTTCGCTGTGCCCTTACATGGCAGAAGGGGCAAGCTCTCCAGGGTCTCTTTTACAAGGGCACTAATCCCATTCATGAGGGCCCTGCCCTCATGATCTAATCACCTCCCAAAAGACCCACCTCCTAATACCCTCATGTTAGGGGTTAGGTTTCAGCATATGAATTTTGGCAGGACACAAACATTCAACCTATAGCACTCCTCAAACCTTCAACCAATAGTTTTAGCATTCATTGCTAATTTTTGCATGACAGTTGCTAAATGGTGATTTTCTATTTCCATCATTTTCCTACATTTATTAGTCAGCTTTCTACAGAAAGGAAGAATTTTCCCTTCTCCCGTATTCATTCATTTTTATCAATATGGACTCACGGATTCCATTATTTTATTTGGTGGTTTACAATCTATTACTATTATTATTTTGATGCTCAAATTGTCCTAGATGGGACAAATTGTCCATCAGGAGCCCTTTCAAGCTGGATCGTGTGTCCTTTTGACATAGCCCCATGATTCTTTGAGCACCACCTTACTTTCTTGCACAAGATATTCCAGGTTTACCTTGCATTTTCCCTGCCTCAGACCTAAAATCCACCATTTCTCTTAGGACTTTCTGGTTCCATTTAGTGGATAATTGTGTCTAGAAACCAAGATCTGGGTCATTACAGAGTTTTGAGCAGAAGAGTAACGTGATCTGACATGTTGTAAAAGGATCACTCAGGCTGCTGTGCTAAAAATTTACTCTAAGGGGGCTAGAGAGAAACCTCTCCCCCTTCATACCCCACTGCTCCCCTTCCTCAGATCCTATACTTTGCCTATAGTGAACCATTTAGAGTGCCCAAACTGCACCATTCTGTTTCATTCTTCCGTGCTTTTGCAAATGCTCTTCCCTTTGCACAGAATATTCTTTCCCCAGCATGCGCCCCTTGACCTTGACCATCTGACAATTTTCTACTCAGCCTTCAAAACTCAACACTGCTATTTTTTTCCTCTGTGAAGCCTTCTCTGAGCAATTCCCTCCACTTGCATCCCATCAGAGGTATAAATTACCATTCAGGCCATTGTGGGAACATAGTGCCTCTCCTTCAGTCACCTTTCTGGACTCCTAGGAGAGATAAAAATCACCTTTTTTGGGTTTCTTTTGTCCTAATGTATCAACAACAATGACGACTCTATTGGTATGAGGCCCTAGGAAGCTAAGGTTCACTAGAGCCTGGCCCCATAATATAAGTGAAGTCCTAAGGCTTGAATGGTAGACTCCTTGAGACTAAACAGGGGGAGCAGGACTTCCAGGAGAGCAGAAGCCTGCCCAGACAACTCTGGGGATATGGGTAGGCCAGAATTCGAAGGAACCTGGGGCACAGGGAAGAGGGAAGTAGGCTTGGCTAAGTAGAAGACATAACTCAATTGAGTTTTTTTTTTGAGGGAGAGTAGCCCTGAGCTAACATCTGTTGCCAATCCTCCCCTTTTTGCTGAGGAAGATTGGCCCTGGGCTAACATCTGTGCCCATCTTCCTCTACTTTATATGGGACGCTGCCACAGCATGCCTTGACAAGCGGTGTGTTGGTCCGCGCCTGGGATCTGAACCTGTGAACTCCAGGCTGCTGAAGAGGAGCGTGCAAACTTAACCGCTACACCACTGGCTGGCCCCTCGGTTGAGTTTTAAGCCTTCTATGAGAACATGTCCCTTCCCTTAGTGCCCTTCAAATCTTATCAGAGCCCAACAATAACCTTCTTCCTCTTGTTATCTGACAGTGAGCTAAGGTCATCCAAGTAGGTGACATCTTTTAAACCAGTCGGAAAACTGTGTAAAATATCTTAAGTTAGCCCTCTGGAAAAGGTCTAGCTTTCTGAAGCATTTCCTTCAGAGTCTTGGAGATGGGTCTTATTAGCAGCTCTTGGGTCCCACCAAAGTTCTCTAGTGTCAACGCCCTCCAGTCAAAGACCATCAGCAACACATCTGTAGTTGAACGAGTTGGATTTATTATTTATGGCAACAAGGGAGAATGCACACCACAGGGGAACCATGAGGCATTTCAGTAAGAGGGAGTTAAAAAAGACTTATTATAGTATTTGGACTTTGGTTGTGTAATTCGAGGAGGGTTTAAGGAAGTAAGGGTTCGCTTTAAATTGGGTGCTGTCAGAAAGCAGGGACAATGCTATCATTGGGTATCTCAGTAAATTTTACCTATAGGGAAGGCAGGTTAGAGCAAGGATAAATATAAATATGATATAATTGGTAAAGAAGCAGAAATCACTCATATTAGCCCGGAGAGGGGGATGTTTGGCATTTTGCGGACTGCAAAGTGACCTTGTTTTTATCTGTGCTTAGACAAAAATATGAAGTGAGCTAGTTTTGTCTTACTTTATCATGGTCTTAGAGTAACCATGTCTGACACTGGTGTTCTGTAAGATTGTTTACATCTAACAGGAGAATAACATTGTCTAGCTGTGAGTACCAGGCCAACTTATACCAACACTGAGGCCTACCTGTGAGCATCAGACCACTTCCTGGATGTCAGAGGCTGCTTCTTTTCTTTCTCTTTTGGCCAAGGGTAGAAGAAGTCAGGTTGCAGGACATTACTCCATAATATCCAGATTTCCTCATTGCTGATCAGGAGTGTGTTTAGAAAACGTAGTCTGTACTTGGACTAGGGTTAGTCTCTCCTGCTTGCTGCAGGATGAGTTGTTGCATTCTCTGATGTAAAAATGACTGCACAGTAAGAAGTCAATATAAAGACTCTGGGAAGGTTGCATCAGCCAACTATAACACAAGCAATTATCAGAAACATACTTCAGTAACAGATCCTGAAGTCAGGGGCCTAGATTATGAAACCTACGCAATAAAAACATGTCCCAGATTCCAATCAGGTCTGTTTTAGACAAGCAGGTGGCTTTTCCTTTTAGCCTAGTCACAAACTCTTGTGCTTGCCCTGTAGTACTTACATTAGTGTAATAAGCAATATTTGCTATAGCCCAAACTCCCCCTTGGCTGGCTAAGAGGAAATCAAGGGCTATGTTATTGTCCACGACAACTCTAGCTAATGAATTTAGACAAGTTTGTTGGGCTTCCAGAGCAGAAGTGTGTCATTTATGACTTCTATTAGGGGCAGAGACAAGTTTCGGACCACTTTTCTAGTTATATTATCCCCATTATGCGAATTGCAATGCATAGTGTAGGCATAAAGAGGGACTCAATTATCCCTCTTGGAAGTTCTCTTTTTTTTTTTTAAAGATTTTATTTATTTTATTTTTTCCCCCCAAAGCCCCAGTGGATAGTTGTATGTCGTAGCTGCACATCCTTCTAGTTGCTGTATGTGGGACTCGGCCTCAGGATGAACGGAGAAGCGGTGCCTCGATGCCAGCACCCGGGATCCGAACCCGGGCCACCAGCATTGCAGCGTGCGCACTTAACCACCAAGCCACAGGGCCGGCCCGATTGGAAGTTCTCTTCAATAACCTGTGTTTGCCTCATTTTGGAGGCCTCTGGGTGTCCTTCTCAAGGTATAAGGCTGATATCCACATAAGAAGTAGTACCCTAGTGGAGCATAGATTAGGAGTATATTAGGAGTGTAACTATCATTTACCACAATAGGAGTGAACCAATTTGTGTCTCTCAAGATGGACAAATCCCTTTAGTGGAGTTAAACAGTTCCTGCAAAGCAGGTTGAAGAGAAGAAATAGACCATTGCAACCAGGATATCCCCAATATTAGTGTCTACTCCTGATTGATCAGGCCTTGCTGATTGGATTATAATGACTTCAGCAGAAGCATTTTGTTGATGTGAGGTCGAGGTCCAATTTTTACAAGACTAAAGTTTGGCGTTAATGCTGTGAGGGAAACAAGTATCAAAAGGGACCTGTAAAAAGAGAATCCATCTCCTGAGGGTTTAAAGGAACAGCTATTAAATTTTAGCCAGCAGGGTTAGGTAGGGGTAACAGATCCAGCACTCAGTTAAATTCAGAGCAGTGGTTATGGGAAAAACACATAGGAGAGCTTTGTTTTTTCTTAAGTGGTAGAAGGAGATATAGGGAGGCAAAAATAATAGGATGGAAATAAGGGATGTCACATTAGTGTTCTAGAGGGCGACAAAGTGGAATAGTAGGCAAGATTAGCAGAAGAGTAAAGGAAGAGAAAAGGGTGTTGAAGAATCAGAAAATTGATCTTGTTCTGTTGTCTTGGGCAGAAGCCGTTCGCTTTTGAGGTCACCAGCTTGTTCTGTCATCTTAGGTGAAAGCTGTCTACCTCTGAAGTCAACAGCCTCTAGAAGATTCCTAAGAATCCAAAATTTAAGGTCTCCAAGTGGAATGAGTGTCCGGTAATCAGGATGAAGTGATGTATATCTTTTGAGTTGGGAACCATGAATCCAAGGATCGATACCTTGGAGCTGTACTGCTGTGACAGTTGTTAACAGCACATCATGAGACCCTTTCCACTGAGGCTCAAGAGCAGTTTTTCTCCAGTGTCTTTTCCAGAAGATGAAATCTCCATGTTGCCACGCGTACAGAGGTTGTTTAGGTAAATGCTTTGGAAATGCAGCTCGTACCTGCTGGTGATAAAGCTGGAGGTATTGTATGAGTCCCTTGCATTAACTAATCACACCTGCTTGTAATAAGGTAGAATCTAAAACTGAGGGTGAAATTCCCAAACACATCAGGTGGCCTGTTATTAATTCATAAGATAACTCGTGGGTCCCAGAGCCGTTGATCTTATAGACAGTAAAGCTATTGGCAATACTTTAAGCCATGGAAGTTTTTGGGTTTCTGAGAGCTTTTCTAGTTTTAGAATTTAATGAATTCTCTCTAATTTTTATGAGGACTGTGAATGATAAGGACAGTGGAGTTTCTGGGTAGAAGGGAGAATATTATAGATCTCCTTAAAAACAGTGTTGGCAAAATGAGTTCCTCTGTCTCTAGAGAGTTAAGTTGTAACTCCTCAGGTTGGGAAAAAAAATCAATATTTTATTTTTGCTACAGTTAGGGCCTATTATGTGTTGAACTGTGTACCTCAAAAATTCATATGTTGAAGTACTAAACCTCAGTATCTCAGAATGTGATCTTATTTGGAAATAGGGTCTTTGCGGATGTAATTAGTCAAATTAAAATGAGATCATAAGGGTAAGCCCTAATTCAACATGACTCGTTGGGCCGGCCCCGTGGCTTAGAGGTTAAGTGTGCGCGCTCCACTGCTGGCAACCCGGGTTCGGATCCCGGGCGCGCACTGACGCACCGCTTCTCCAGCCATGCTGAGGCCGCGTCCCACATACAGCAACTAGAAGGATGTGCAGCTATGACACACAACTATCTACTGGGGCTTTGGGGGGAAAAATAAATAAATAAAATCTTTAAAAAATATATATATGACTCGTGTCCTTATAAAAAGGAGAAACTTGGAAATTTGGAAACAGAAAGGGAAATTGATGTGAAGAAACGTAGGGAGAAGACAGCCATCTACAAGCCAAGGAGAGAGGCCTGGAACACATCCTTCCCTCACAGCCCTCAGAAGAAACCAACCCTGCCCACATGTTGATTTCAGACTAATAACCTCCAGAACCGTGAGACAATCAATTTCCGTTGTTTAAGCCACCAGTTTGTGGTACGTTATTACAGGAGCCCTGGCAAAGTAATACAAGGCTGTAGCCCTCTGACAGGAAAAGCTTTTTCCATCCTGAAAATAAATAATAACCAGACATACTTATAGCCTATTCAGGAGACAGTTGTATAAAGTCCATTTGGAGGTGTTCAAAGGGCCCTCCAGGCTTTGGCTCCTGTCCACGACACCCCCTTACAGTTTAACCAGGGTTGGGCTGTTAGCAGGTAGGACACGTTTGGGAAACATCTTTGACAATCCCTCTAAAATTACCCCACCAATGTTAGTGTAATATAATGGCCAATTTATCTCTGCTGTTGTGGATAATATGAAGAATTCTTGCTAAAATTCATTTGAAACGATTTGGCGCTACCAGTTAGACATCCTGAGAATGCCAAATATCATCTTTATGCAATGAGCCTTCAAATTTTTCCCAGGTATCTTTTTTTCAAATTAGGGGCTTATCTCTGACAATTAACAGCAGTTAACAACAATCTCTGAAAGTTAACAACAGTCTTAGAGGAATCTATTAATTCCTCTAAGGCCTCTCCTTTCTGAATGATTACAGGAGCAGTTATCTTGGTGAAAGCTGCTTGTTAGCATAGCGGTCAGCTGAAGTTTTATCATGAGATTCTGGATCCCTGGGCTTTGAATGATGTTCCACCTTTATTATAGCTATTTCCTTAAGTTAATAGCTTCTAAAAGTTCTTTAACTTGTCCATTTTTATGAATGTTTCTCTTGAGGTCAGAAAACTTCTTTGTCTCGTGGGGCCGGCCCTGTGGTGTAGCGGTTAAGCGCACGCGCTCCACTGCTGGCGGCGCGGGTTTGGATCCTGGGCGCGCACCAATGCACTGCTTGCCAGGCCATGCAGTGGCGGTGTCCCACATAAAGTAGAGGAAGATGGGCACAGATGTTAGCCCATGGCCGGTCTTCTTCTCCAAAAAGAGGAGGATTGGCATGGATGTGAGCTCAGGGCTGATCTTCCTCACAAAAAAAAAAAAAGAAGAAAACTTCTTTGTTTCAAAGCATTTTGAAGTCAGATTAACCTAAAGCCATATACTTCCTATCAATATAAATATTCATTCTTTCATCTTTTGTCAGTTGGTAAGTCTAGGCGAGGGCAATCAATTAGGCCATCTGAACTGATTTAATTTCTGTGAGAAGTTTATAGTTTGAGTCAATTTAAGTCCGTGATGGCATACCCTGTTTCTCAATTTTCGTTTTTACTTTTTATGTGTGAACAATTAACAAACACAAATTAGTGTTACTCAAGGAAGTCTCTAGAAGGTCTGTGCAGTGTATGGATATTTTTTTTAACAGAGGTAAGCAATTAGGGGGTTTCCCTTTTCAGGCAAAGGAAAGAGGCTGAGTTTATAGTGTTGCATCTATGGATAGTCATGTTTGAAGAAGAAAGAAGCAACACATTATAGGAGGCAGGAACAAGCTAAAAAGCGGTGAGCGCTGTTTTTTTAATAGAAGAAGTTTTCAGCATGGAGAACCATTAAGTTTAGTTAGAAGTGCAGTGTACTTCTAAATGAAGTTTTCACAGGTTTTGCTGTTGCTGTTATAGCTCTTAAACAAGAGGAATGTGCCTTGACTACTGGGTCTAATGAAAGACTGAAATAAGCAACAGGCCTCTGATGAGTCCCATGTAACTAAGGCAGTATTGCTAGTGCCTGTTTCAGACTATTTATGAACAAAAGGTGAAGTGGGCTTGTGAATCTAGAATTCTGCAAACATTTTGTGATAAACAGTTATTGTATCAGTCTTTGTGCTTATACATAGATGTTTCTTCTACCTTGAAAAGTATTCAATGATTGAAATATATTCATGTATAACCTAGTCCCGGTCCACTTATGTCAGAGTTCAGGCCAAGTCATAGTAGGTTGATTACACACAATAGTGCAGCCTGGGTGAGGTCAGGGTATAAATACAGCCTCACTCACTGGGACAGCTCAGACACTGGAGAAGAGCCTAGGTGAAGACATCAGAAACCCACCTTCGTGGCAAGGCTCACATCCAGACAATTGCCAACACCCACCCACCCGCCGGGCGAGCAGCTACACTTGACATCAATCAAGTCCCATCAGAAGAAGCAGACTTGGCCCAAAAGAGAAAAAGAGCAAGGTAATGGGAGGTGCGGTGGATGGGTACATCGAACAAGTAGCAGAGTGGTCACCAAGCTAAGGTTTAGAGGTGAAACTCTCCAAGAGAGACTATTTATTTACTATTTATTTATTTATTCTATTTGCTCCAAAAATAATTGGAGACTGCTTACAAGGATTCATTCAATATAGAAATCTAAACAAATTTTAAATAAAGTAAGAAATAAAGGAGAAAGAAATAAAGATAAAGCCAGGAGCAAGGTAAAGATCCAGTTCTGATGCCAGGTCTCAAATCAAACTAGCAGCCAAGAGGAGCATTTAAACTGGAGGTAGAAGGTTTCAAAGGAGATAATGGACGTAGACTTTGAAAGATAAGTGGCATTCGTGTGGGTGGAGGTGAAGTAAAAAGCATTTTAGGTGAGGGCAAGCACTAATACCTACGCTACAGCTGGGTCCTAGGGCAGAGGTGGTGGGGAGAAGCCTTGGGAGATGAACCGGGCTGGAGGCAGAACAAGCAACAAATCATACAGGGTCCCGAATGCCTGCTGAGGAGGAGGACTGGGCTCCTCTGCAATTACTCAGCAGTTTTCAAAGGTTCTGAAGTGTGGAAAACTTAGAGATATGCCTTAGAAGATCTGTTGGATGATAAGGTAAGTGATGTGTCTCAATGTAACTGCATGTAAATCCTTAGGGATGGGAATGGACAGGGACAAGTGTCTTTAACAAGAGTCACCTGGTTACTGTGATGTAAGGAGTCTATGACAACACAGAATAGCAGCAGGGAGACTGGATGGGGATACAGGGGACCAGGGAGAGGAAATGGGATAGAGAGACTTCAGGAACCTCCTAGTTAGTGCTGGCCTTCTGTATTTGCCCTTTTGCCCCCAGCTTTGCTTAGAGGGAGAGATACATTTCCTGACATAACCTTCATGTGTGTCAGCAGCAGGGTGCTTTCTGAGTGGTCAGAGGACCCATAGGCGGGGGGTGGTGTGGGGAGGAGGCATGATGCCTCCATTGTGAGACATTGATGGTCCTGAAAACTAGGTTTCCCATTGGTGGAAGCTGGCCAATGGCTGCCTCCTACTTAATCACATCCTTAGTATCATCAGCCAATGTGCTTGATTACCACCTCAGCACCCCTATCATATGGTAGGGCTGTTAAGAGGAATAAGGATAGCCCTAGAAGGTTGTGATCCTCCCTAACACTTCCATCTTCACACACTGCACCTGGCCCTTGGGGAAGAAATAGAGGGTGGCAGAAGTCATCCATGACATCACTATTCACATGTCAGCTCAAGGTGCTCTCTGAGTGGCTGGGGGACCCATGGGCGGGAGGAGCCATGATGCCTCCATTGTGAGGTGTTGATGGTCTCTCAAGCTAAGGTGTCCCATTGGCGGAATCTGGCCAATGGCTGCCTCCTACTTAATTACATCCTTAGTATCAGCACCCAATGTGCTTGATTCCCAACTCAATACCTCAATCATAGGGTAGGGCTATTCAGAGAAATAGGGATGACCCTAGAAGGTAGTGGTTCCTCCATAATACTTCCATCTTCACACACTGTACCCTGCCCTAGGGGAAGGAATAGAGAGTGGCAGAAGTTATCCATGACATCACTATTCACACGTCAGCTCAAGGTGCTCTCTGAGTGGTTGAAGGACCCATGGAGGGTGGGCAGGGAGGAGCCATGATGCGTCCATTGTGAGGCATTGATGGTCCTGAAAACTAGGTTTCCCATTGGTGGAAGCTGGCCAATGGCTGCCTCCTACTTAATCACATCCTCAGTATCAGCAGCCAATGAGCTTGATTCCCACCTCAACACCCATAACATAGGATAGAGTCATTAAGATGAATAGGGATAGCCCTAGAAAATAGTGCTCCCCCTGTAACATTTCCACCTCACACACTGCACCATTCCCTAGAGGAAGGAATAGAGGGTGGCAGAAGTCATCCATGACATCACTAGTCACATGTTAGCACAAAGTACTCTCTGAGTGGCTGAGGGACTCATGAGGGGTGGGGGGAGGAGCCATGATGCCTCCATTGTGAGGCATTGATGGCCTCCTAAACTAGGGTCTCCCGTTGGTGGAAGCTGGCCAATGGCTGCCTCCTACTTAATCATAGCCTCTATATCAACACCCAATGTGCTTGATTCCCACCTCAGTAACCATATAATAGGGTAGGGTTGTTAAGAGAAATAGAGATGGCCCTAGAAGGTAGTGCTCCTCCCTAACACTTTCATCTTCACACACTGCACCCTGCCCTAGGGGAAAAAATAGAGGGTGGCAGAAGTCATCTCTGACATCACTATTCACATGTCAGCACAAAGAGCTCTCTGAGTGGTTGAAGGACCCATGGTGGGGGAGGAGCCATGATGCCTCCACTGTGAGGTGTTGATGGTTTCTTGACCTAGGGTGTCCCATTGGTGGAAGCTGGCCAGTGGTTGCCTCCTACTTAATCACAGCTTCTGTATTAGCAGCCAATGTGCTTGATTCCCACCTCAATACCCCCATCGTAGGGTAGGGATGTTTAGAGTAATAGAGATGGCCCTAGAAGGTAGTGCTTCCCCCATAATATTTCCATCTTTACACACTGCACCCTGCCCTAGGGGAAGGAATAGAGGGTAGCATTAGTCATCCCTGACATCACTATTCATATGCACACTCTGAGCAGATCAGGGACCCACAGGAGGGGGGGTGCAGTGAGGATGGAGGGAGGGGTGGAGCCATGATGCCTCCATTGTGAGGAAATGATGGCCTTTTGAGCCGAGGTCTCCCATATGTGCAAGCTGGCCCAATGGCTGCCTTATATTTAAGGTCTCTGTGTCAGCAACCAATATGTTTTATTCCAGTCACAGCACCCCATATGATAGTCAGGCCATTAGGAGGAATAGGGGTGGCCTTGGGAAGTAGTAGTCCCCCAAGACACATC